GAATAATTTTACTATTCGAATAAACCACTAAACGAATATTCAAATTTAAAAAACTCCGAGCCCTAGTTTAAATAATCGGAGAAAGTGGCAAAAACTTTGCGCGTAACTTTTGAACCGTTGGTACTATTGAAAAGTTGGATGTTTTTTTAAGTATTAAAAATGCCTACAAAATGAGACAAACTAAATTAACATCCCTTTATTTGCTTACTCAAAAACCAAAAACAATCGCCGATTTTTAAGCTTTTTTAATTAACGTCGGATGCTTCTCCAAGGGTCTACAAAAATCTCCAAGAGTTAAACTACAGCTTTCAATCAAGAAAAAGTTGATTGCTGAAGGGCAAATTGTTTAAACATTAAGTTGAAAATCCGAAACCTTTTATGATAAAATCTAACGGGTTAATTTTTTAGATAAAATTTCCGAATCGATTGCTGTGATTTTTATGCAAATTGTAAACGTTTAAATATTGCTCTATCTGGAGCTCAGATTTACGGGTCAAAGACGCTAAAACCGGAATTTTGCTGGTCTTTTGAGTAAACAGAAAAACAGAATTTAATTTAGTTTGACTCATATTGTAAGAACTTTTAATACTTGACAAAAACTTTTTTGAATAGCATCAACGGTTTCAGGCACCTTCTTTGGCAAAAATAATATTTTTCTAATCTAATCTGACCGGTTGTTCACCTGCAGCCAATGATTGCTTACCTCGTCAGAGAAACTAGCCAATTGCTTTTCGCTGGCCAAGTCCAGCAATTGCTGTTTCGCTTTGTTGACATCATCCTGGGGACCTCGAATGGTCACTTTATCGCTCTTGCTGTCGGGGCTGGGAATTTTGATCGCAACCCCTCCACAATCTTCCATGATGGAATGGATGAGTTTCCCTGCAGGAGATAATGTGTTAATTTGTAGACTAGTGAAAGATGTTTCGCGATTTGTACCTTTAACACCGATCAGAGCGTTATGGAATTTAGGATCAATAGTAATTTCCTCGCTGACGATGTTCTCCAAACCATCCTGAATGCTGCGGATTTGCTCTCGGGCTTTATCCACATTCTCGCGCTTTCCTGTGATGGTGATACTGTCGTTAGTGTCGCCTTCGGCGGGCACGTCGATTCTAGTGTTGGTCTCCTCGCGAATTTTTTTAATTGTCGAACCACCTAAAGAGAATTAGCATCTTGTTATGCGTTGAGGCTTGGGCTTAGGCTTCTACCAACCTTTTCCAATGATGAACTTGTGAAATTGCTTGAAAATTGGCACTTGCACTTGAAACGACGACTCTTTAAGCTCCTTGACTTTGACTTCTAGAAGTCTCACGCACTTATCAACGTCCTCTTTGGGGCCGCGCACTTTGACTATGTCATTTCTTTCGCCTTGCCCTGGGAAGACGATCTGCACTTGGTTGAATTGGTCTCTGATCTCCTTGATGGCCTCCCCTTTAGTGCCTGCAAATTACACAATAAAATGCAATTAGCTAGCAAAAGTTGCTTGCGGTTGGCTTACCGATGATATTTCTGAAGTGGCGATGGTCAATGATAACGTCTCGCTCCTTTTCGTTCTCCAACTTGAAGATTCTCTGCTCTAAATCCTCCTTGGTTTTGGCAACATCGTCCTTGCTGCCCTCAATCCGGATCATGCCACTCTCGTCAATGTTAATGACCACATTGAATTCGTCCTTCAGCTTGTTAACGTTGGCGCCAGCCTTACCGATGATGTGCTTGAACAGTCTGCTATCGACGGTCATTTCTTCGAAGCACATGTTCTTCACAAGATCGTTGGTGATGGCTTCGATTTGCTCCTGAGCACTTTCCACCTACAATTCAATTTGCTGTTAGTTTAATTAACTGATGGAAGAAAGGGGTTGTCGTACCTCTTCCGGTGGGCCTTCGATGCGGATTTTATGGTCCTTGTCAGTGAACTCTACATGAACTTTGGGCAGATTTTGGGTGATTTCCTTGATTTTCTGGCCCTTCTTGCCGATGATGTATTTGTGCAGCCATGAGGGTGCGGTCACATCAGTGGAGCGAACCGAGTTGGCTTTTTCATAAACCACATTCAATGCCAGGCCAAGTTTTTCAGGGGGGCCCCTTAAAGTGATGGTGTCCACGCTCGAGTCGCTCGGCGGCATCTCAACGCTCACCCCGGTTTTCTGAAGAATCTCAGCTAAGGTGGCCCCTTTAGGCCCCACTACATATTTGTGCTGGGATTTGGAAACTTCGACCGATACCGTGGTGCATTTCTTCTCCATCAGCTTGAAGATGGCTTCGATTTTCGCTTTGGCGGCAGCCACGCCGTCCTTTTCGCCCGCGATGAAAATTTCGTCCTTCTGCACGGATGGGGGCGGCACATTGATCCGCGCTCCCGTTTCAGAGATAAGCTGAGTGAGGTTCTCGTTGAAGGGCCCCACGATGAACGGATGGAAAATCTTCGGGATGTTCAACAGCTCTTGCGCCTTCTTGGACTGTTGGTCGGACGTCACTTTGATTTCGTGCTCGGCCTTTTCGATGCCCTCTTTCGGCCCGGTGATGGTGAGCACGTCCGACTCGTCGTTCATGTTCGGAACGGAAATTTTCGTTCCCGTTTGCTTCTCCAGCTCTTTCAGGCGATCGCCCTTTTTGCCCAAGATCAGTTTGTGGTGCTCTTTTGGGATGGAAATCGATTTGTGAGCCTGTCAACGAGAGAGCGATTAGAATTGAGTTTTTTAGCCGTTAAGAGTTGTGTGGCAAGTGAATGAGAAGATAAGGCCAAAGAAAGGGCCAGACTTCACTCTAGCTTGTCAATGATCTAGCATCGGATTTTTTGCAAATTTGCTTTGGCGTGCAAATTTGCTTAGATCCCAATGCGTGTTTCTATAAAATTTACCGGAGTGCACGCCGCTCACCTGAGTTTGAAAATGACTCAAAATCTTGAATCTTGCTTTAAGTACTTCATTCTTTTTCCCAGTTACTAGGAAGGATAAAGACTGGTCCTTTCCATGGGAGATTTCAATGTGAGCGCCGGTCTCTTTCATGATCGCTCCACATGTCTGGACCGATTCGCCTTCGCCGAACTTTGAGCCGCCGTCCAATTTGCGTTCTTCATACGGGACTCTGTGGAATGATTGAGAATCGGCGTTGCAGTTGATAGTGGATAGAATTGATGAGGAACCAACCTGAACACTTGGGTGATGACGCTCGTGCCGATGCGCATTTTGTTGTTAACCGCAGTGTTCCAATGGGGGGCTGCGGTCTGGTTGGGTTGAGTGGATTCAGGCAAGGCCGGGAATAAGTCGTCATAACTCTTGAGGTTCGGCTCGTAAGCGGCGCCTGCTTCGGTCACTGGTTGCTGCATTTTGGGATTGTCCTTAGTCGCGCCAAGTCGTTACAGCAACACTACGAGATCAAATTCGCATAAAATACAAGCGTAGGGCTACAACTCTAAATGGAACCAATCAACATTGGTAATAACCATTGATGTACAACCGAATTGGGATTACAACAATTTATTTATAGACTATCCGGGTTGATGAACTGCGTTGCAGCTGAATAAATTCTCCTATTTATATAACGCTAGTTGGTGGTTTATTTAAAAAAAAATAGGTGGAAGTCGAGGAAATCAATGGAAACCGTTATAAACTTAAACCCCTTAGAGGACTGGGACTAAACTGGTGCAAAGAAAATGTGTTTTAATCAAAAAGCCAACAGGCGATTAACGTTTGACCTTTAGCATGTACACAATTGTTTCCCAAAACGATTTATCTGCCGAGATTTTTGCTGATTGAAGAGAATTTCGTGTGCGCGAGATTAATTTAACTCCCTCTCTAGTCTCTTGGCAACTAAGCTGGACTATTTTTTCAAACTGCCCCACTAAGACAGGTATAAACGAGTGAAAAACGTACCTCAATTTGGGAGTAGCAACTCAGAAAGCGGCGCAATGAAAGGCAACACAACAACTATTAAAGAATTTGAGAATTACCCCATAAAGCCGATATGGAGATTAAAAAGTACTTAGGAAAGCGAGTCAATTGTGTTTGCTGGGGAATTTTAGGGCGACTGTGGCAATACCATTAAGTCGGTTAGATGTATGTAAATCTCTTCTACTAAGGCAGAAACTTGCCAATTATTCAATATAATCACCATCCATTAAATTGCCATTAAAATAATCTGGCCCGTAAGGTTTTAGAGGAGAATTCACAAATAGCGTTATGACCTTTGGTTTGTTTGAACGAAACATCCTCAATGGGCCGATTGAGACTTCGTCTCACAGCGTTTTGTCCCAGCAAAGTGGAAGTTAGGGACAAAAGAACCCTACTCCAGTTTTTCCAGCTTAGTTCTGCAATTGAACATGAACCACCCTGCGTTTAGGGTTTTTCCATCGGCTTTGACGAATCTACCTGAAATTTCCACCACTTCAGCTAGAAAAAAGCCAGTTTTTGTTGAAGTTGAAATGCAATTGCAGGTTCCTCTGAATGTGGTGTTGGTTTAATTAAAAACTAGTCTTTAGGCTAAGGTTCACGCTGAAACCACGTGTATTCTGCTAACATTTGAGGCTAGACGCGAGACTATCTATCTATCTAGAAGCCCGACAACAGAACGGGTTATGACACGTTTCTAGCATCGGGAAAACTGGCTATTTTCAGTGAAATCTATATCCAAACATCGGCAACAAAACTATTTTGGCAACAATAAATGTTGGTAAAAATGGAAAATTTGGTAAATTCTTGTTGAGAACTTCTATCGCCTTATCCTTATACAAATAGATACTGGAATGTTTGTGTTTTCCACCTTGAAAGTAGAAAAAAAAGAAAATGACAGACATATGGGAAATAATTTGGATATTAATTCGATAAAATCCGAGGCGTGTGCCGAGTTGGATGGAACAACTGGACATTAGTTGACGAAAACCCATTCAGAATCATGATGAAAATCGAGGGCAAATGGAAAAATTGGGAAAATGCGGCCAAGAGCAGAGGAATAGGCAGTCGACGTGTCAACTAGGCCTAATCTGCTGCATGATAGTACAAAAGGATAAAAACAAACTCTTTCACTTACTGTACTGTAAAAACAGATAATCCGTCCTGGAAAACTGGGATCTATAAAGCCTCCAGCTTCGATTGGTTGCCTGCAAATGGGAGAAGAGCGTTTAAAATCGACGGAAAACCCACGAACGTTTCCTACATACCCAATGCCAAGTAGAAAATGATTATTTTTATGGAATTGCTGAAATTGCTATATAAACGTCACGTAGATAGTTTGGCGCACGTCAAATATGAGCTTTGTGAGCGGCCAGGGCGACATCTACCCTTCATCGGTGGTCAATATTACAAAATAGAACTTTCTAGAATTCGCATTTCTTTGGCTAGGGAAAACTGCAGAGTTCTAGTTCATAATTTTGCAAAGAAATTGACAATTTTGCACAAGAAACTTGCCTAAAATGCACGCTCTTAATTGCCTTTTGGAGTATTCAAAAATATCTCGTCGTGTAAAAATGTGGCTACATTAATCGCAACAAAACCATTAATCTTAATGTATTTCCAAACAACAACGTGCAAAATAATACAGAACAATCAGATTAAGCTCGCTTGTCCTCTAAACCCCATAAGTGTGAGTGAAATGAAAATAGTCTAACGCGATAGCGTCCATTCATCATTTTATCGGGGTTTTGTGATTGCAAACTTGTGTCTCTAGATGAATTACGACCCTAAAAGATAAGCAAATAAGTAGAAGAAACTTATTTGTTACATGATTAGGTCGTAATGATGCTCAGAACTTTTTGTAAAATGCCGCATTGGTAATTTGCTTAATTGCGAATGCCGCGCGATTTGCCAGGTTTAGAAATCGAAAAAGTCCGGGATTTTTCCACTTTATTTAATTAAGTTGATGATCTAAAAAATAAAGTTTCTAATCACACTTGTTACAGTGCGGTTTTTACCACTGGTAGCCCGATTTTAGCTGCAAAAGCGTGATTTTTGACTTGACTCATCAAAGATCCACAGCGAAGAGAAATTGTTTATATATTTTTTTGCTTCGACCATCAAAAACAGCAACAATACGAACCCTGTATATAAAACTCATCCTAAACATGATTGTGGAATTGCCGGATTGCCGATCATTTCGGCGTTTGCGGCCCAATATCGGCTAGCTACTTGTCTTCATCTATGTAGCTAGCTACATGAGCAAATTCGTTCATTTTGCCTGATTAGAAGCTCTAAACGGCAACGCTGGGGCTAAGGAAGCTGCAAAATTCCCACGCCGGAATGCAGGCAACTTGCAATGGTTTGATTTTTTGTAACCTGTCTTTATCCATGACCTTGTCGCTGTCAGTGTATGGCATAAGGTATCGAATAATAAAAAATAAGTTAATTTTTAAATAAAATTAGCGGCGTTTTTGCCTTTGGTGCTCAGACCTTAAAAATGTCCAAGGAAATGCAACTGCTGAAATTGCTCAGGGGGAGTTTTCTTCAGGTAAAGAAATCTCACCGTAATTACATAACAGTAAAACATCATAGGGATTTATGTTTGGGCCAAAGTGTATTATCCGGCTAATTAGCGTAGTATGCACATCAGCATCTTGTGATTTCCCAATGGAGAACCAGACAAGCATTCCAAATCATTACAATTCCATTCCAGGTACGTTTTATTCATGCGGCTCCTGCTTCGAATGCAGCAGCGGCTGCTGCTGCCGAACCTCAACAGCAGAAGCCGCCAAAGATCAAAACCGTGTCGATTTATCGCTGGAACCCCGACAAGCCCCAGCAGAAGCCCTACATGCAGGATTATAAGGTGGATCTGAGCCAGTGCGGGCCCATGGTGCTCGATGCTTTAATTAAGATCAAGAATGAGATGGACCCAACGTTAACCTTCCGAAGGTCCTGCCGCGAAGGCATTTGTGGTTCCTGTGCCATGAACATTGGGGGCGTTAATACGTTGGCTTGCATTAGGTGAGGAAAGCCCCCAAGGCTCTAAAATACTTGAAACTTATCCGGAACGCTTCTTGCAGCAAGATCGATACCAATCTGGGGAAGAAGGCGAAGATCTACCCCTTGCCTCATATGTACGTCGTCAAGGATTTGGTGCCCGACATGACGAACTTCTACAACCAGTACAAGTCGATTGAGCCGTGGCTTCAACGCGAGTAAGTTGATCTTGTTGAGGAAAACCCCAGCCATTTCTCACTTTCTTAATGGCAGTGACGCTGTGGCTGCTAAAGGCACCAAAGAAGTCACGCAATATCTTCAAAGCGTGGACGACCGAGCTAAACTCGACGGTCTATACGAGTGTATCTTATGCGCTTGCTGCTCAACTTCTTGTCCCAGTTACTGGTGGAATGGAGACAAATATTTAGGACCCGCTGTACTTATGCAGGTAAACTGCCTTTGCTCTACACAAACATCATTTAATAACGCTTTTTCCATTTCAGGCGTACAGGTGGATCATAGATTCGCGTGACAACACAACAGCAAAGCGATTGGATAAATTGCGAGATCCTTTCTCAGTCTATCGGTGTCACACTATCATGAACTGCACCAGGACGTGCCCTAAGGTGAGTCTCCTTAGTTCAACAGCCGGGCAGTTTGATATTTTGCGAATTTTCAGAGTCTGAACCCTGGCCGCGCTATCGCCGAAATCAAGAAACTACTAGGAGGCGTTGCCTCTAAGCCAAAGCCTCAACTAGACCCTGTAGCTTTACAAAAGTAATTGCCTTAAAACAAATATTTATTCCCTGTTTGGTCACCTGTAAATAAGGTAAATACTAGCGAGTTGAATAAACGTTTTAATTATTGTCATTTTGCCTTTAAACCCCATTTGCGACCACAAAGCAAAGTTAATCGGAGTAAAAAAACTTCAATTCATGTCTGTAATAAAAATGTATTAAACAGCAAATGGGTTTGACTAATAATTTATCGAGAAAACTATGTTATGCTTTGCTTAAAATGCGAGTATTTTTCTAAATTACTCCCGATGTGTTGACGTGACTGTGTCCATATAAGAAAAGGATATTCAGGTGGCAGTTCCTTGAATGTCTATCAAAAACGAGTATTTTATTACTCAACTTTTCCTTTTTGCTGGTGAAAACAATGCGCATTCACTCCCTTATCCTGACCGTTCTTTTCTTATATTGAACAGAGTGATACCGCGTACCTGTAAACTACTTTATAGGAACTTCCATTAATAAAAAATACATAAACAAAAACAACGATATTCGGCACTAGTTGCAGTAAAACGTACAATATCTACCACTTTACATAAATCTATCGAATGAGGGTGATTTACAGATAAAAATTGCCTACATGAACGATTGCTACCATATATGTATCAAACATTCCCTAAGAACACTTCAGATTATTTGATTAAATGTATTTAAATCCGCGCTTTAGTGACACTGGATGGAAAAATAAAGTACCAGACATACTTAACAATTGTATATACTTTCCTGACTGTGTTTCAATTCCAAATCAAATTCATTCCTGGGTTTCAGTCATTTATTGTCTCT